CCGAGGGAGTAGTATAAAGTGTAAAAGGTTTACACTTTGGTTGGTTTCCAATCGTACCAAAGTACAACTACAGTGTACCTTTTACACTTTATACTACTTCCTCGGATAAGCTGTAAGTAGGATTAGCTTTAGGTATAGAAGCGAGTATCGGATGAGCTACAAGTAGGATCATCCCTAGGTGTAGAATGGGCATTATCCGAGGGAGTAGTATAAAGTGTAAAAGGGTACACTGTGGTTGGTTTCCAATTGTGCCAACGTACAACCACAGTGTACCCTTTTACACTTTATACTACTCCCTCGGATAAGCCACAAGTAGGATCATCCCTAGGTGTAGAACGGGCACTAGGTGTAGAACGGGCATCACATAACGAAAAATCAATAGCTCTGTTTTTACCGACATTTCATGCACACAGCGCGGAACACAACCAGACCGTGCACATCTGCGTTATCCGCTCAGTCCATTGGCTACGTAGTTCATGTCCACGTTTTCAATGTCCACAGAGGGCGCATCGCGTTCGAGGATCAACGTAAAACCGGGCCGTGATGGCTCTCTCGGGCCTCTGGCGCGGCGCGAGCGTTCGAACTTGGCGGTTGTGCGCGCGCGCCGATGACGACATGCGCGAAGAAAGGCGCGCGGCGGCGGCGGCGGCGGCGGTGGCGGTGGCAGCGGCGGCGGCGGCGGCGGCGGGCGCCGGCAGTCAGTGCATGACGGCCTGAGGTTCGTATCGATATCGTATCTCCGCGCACGGTCCGCTCGCTCGCGAGAGGGCAAGGGAGAAAGAGAGACGAGAGGCACGGTTCCCGGGAGCCGCGCGACGTTACTACGAACGCGAGCGGATCGCCGTTCGTCGCCCGCCGCGCGCGTCCCGCGAACCCCGCGCTGCCGAAATTCGCGCCGTTTCGCGCGAGGGCGAGCACGGAACGGGCGCGCAGTGCGCGACGGCGGAGGTGTGTGACGACGAGAGGTATCGGCCAGACGGATTCGGCGGAGCCGTCGTCCCCGGCGGGTGCTGAGAGGAGGAGACGAGAGCGAGAGCGAGAGCGAGAGAGAGAGAGTGAGAGAGGCAGAGAGGAACGCGCGACGAGTCATCCCGGTGAGTAACGCACACGACTCTTCATCTCGCGGCGCGGAGGAGATTCACGAGGCGGCTGACCTTCCGACGTCGACGTCTTGGCGCGCGCGGCCTCAACTTTTTGCGAAGAGCGCGGGGCCCGCGAGAGGAGAGCGAGAGGAGTCGATCGATGGGCGATTACGCTCGCGAATTATAATTATTATTGTTGCCCTCTTCGTCGCGCGTCTCGGCTCCGCGACGAGAGCGAGGGGGGGGGGGGGTTGGTCCGTGTGTCTTGCCTGTACGCTCCGCTATCTCGGAGCGTTCAGCTATTAGGAAGATTAGGACGTCTTTGGGAGATACTTGTGTTATCAGATAATCGGGACTGTCGAACTCGGGAATAATGTGGAAATAACGATACAGAATTCTTCACGAAGGTAGCGAGCGGGCTGGAATGTTCGGATAATGATGGACCGAAAATAAATTGCTTGAGGATCGCGCAAGGTATTTACTTAGGACGTTGTCTGTTGAAGAAAGGTTAGAATTAATAGTCGGCTCGCGTAATTGCGGAAAGGAACGCAACGACATTTTACTGGTAACCGAGTCTTTTCTGCAGTGTTCGGTTCACTTAATGACATTACGTGTTATGTTTCATTAAGCTTCATTTAACTATATATTTAATTAGGAAATGAAATGAAGTACAAGAGAAAATGAATTAGGCATCTCGGGGAAAATGTTTGTTCTCGATTGTCAGGTGCGATCCTGCTTCGCGGGAGGGCGAGGTAACTCGAGAAACATTTTATCACATCCATTTCTACCGACGTAGATCGACTTTAATCTCGGTTTAACTCGCTTCTTATCTTGTTGTAATTCTTACAACCGTAGGAAGATAAAAAGAAAGTCAAACCGCGGTTAGAGCCGGTGCGCACTTGTAGAAATGGATACGACGAAACCTATTGCGATTCCAACTCGGTTATCGAGGGAAGGAGTCAATTTCACGTAAGCGTAGCGAGATCATAGGACCCTGTCGCACGTCTGGCTTGTTTATCGTCCCGAGGAAATCGCGGAGTTTCTCATCTCGTCTCAAGTGACACTCGCGCGTGCCTCCGAGTATAATGAGAGGAGAGACACTCGTTTCCTCGTAGAATTTCGTCGAGCGACGACGCCGGGCTTTTCGGGAGAGCCCGTCAATAACGACGAACGCGCGCGCCTTTCCTGAAGAGGAGGAAAAAGATTCGAGGAAATATATCCGACGTCTAAATTGACGACACGGTTGACAGTGGCACTTACTTCTCTCTCTCTCTCTCTTTTTTTTTCACCGAGAGAAGGCACGAGAGGTCCCGAGGGCCCTCGTGCCATTTCGAGACGGCAATTATTTCACGGGATCATTTCGCTCGATGACGTCCGTCCGCTAGTCGATTTCCATCGGACATCCTTGGAACACGAGGGTCAATGAGCGACACGCTTGCTCGACACGATGTTTAACGATCCGGAAAACGCCCGGGGCGGGGAAGGGGGGGATCAACTTGCAAGGCGACAGCCTGCGAAGTGTATCCGCGCCCGTGTCTTTATTTCATCATTAATTTCTTCATACTCGTAGCGAGGGCTGTCTCGGCCCGACGTGCCACCTTAGCGCTGAATGACACCTCGACACGAACATTGGCCGCGTTAAGCGGAAAAAGTTGCTTCCCAACTGTTGCGAAAATCCGATTGGCGTATGCTTTCGGCTATGGGGATACACCCACAGAAAAATTTCCGGATCCAATGCTATTACACTTGAATGTATCATAAAATAGGATCGATATAGCGCCAGTCATATTTATTATAGAGAAAGGAATATTTAATCCGAAGGGGAAACCGCTGATCAAAATCTTGTACACCAATGCCCACTAATGTGGGCATTGCTTTATCTTATTTTGTCATATTTATCTTGGTTTATCTTATTTCATCTTTATAGTGGCCCAGCAAGACCAAATGCCTAGTAATGCCTAGTAATGTCCAGTAATGCCGCAAATCTGTACACCACAATGCCCTCAGCGGTTTCCCCCTCGATTTAATCTTAAATGAAAAATTCTAAAATCTAGAATAAAACGATAGTCGAATATTGTGGTACCAACTTCGTGCGTTGCAAGATGGAGGGGAAATTTATTCTAAACGCAAGGATATATAAACTTACATTTATACAAGTTACTCTTGTCTCAATATAGTAAGTCAATCTTTTTTAATTCGATCGAGGAGAAGAAGAATTATTGATTTTATTTTGATATCGTCTTATTTTTATACTAAATGCAGTTGTGAGAGATATAAGTGCGTCAAGGATATGCTTTGTCTCAGTAACAGAAATCCTTTCTGAGGGTGTAGAATCGCAAGAGCGCATACTCCAGTGAAATTTACGTATCTTGCAACGGTTGCTTCTTTCTTTCACTCGCGTTCTATTTCTTTTACTCAATTCGTGAACGAATACGTCGTGGAACAAGCGATTGATAAATAATTAGTTGTTGCCTTCCACTTTAGGAAGTTTCCCGTGAACGGAACTTTTCGCGAAAAGGTGAAGCTAAACCACGTGCTCCTAACATTTCGACGAATAATATTTTCAGTGTTTTCTTGACCATACACCTGGCATCTTTAATAATACAGAAAATTTATTGCGAAAAATATTACCTCAGCCACGTCTATGCCTCGGTGGTCGAATTGGTGAGACGCCCGCCTAGAGTGTAGGGAGGTCCAGGTTCAAACCCTTGCTGAGATAATATTTTTTGCAATAAATTTTATTAAAGATGCCAGGTATGGTCAAGAAAACACTGACGTTGTCAATTACCGCTGGCGACATTG